TGGTATTTAATCACCACTGGGTTTTTTATTTTTTGCTAAAGATAAAAAGAAACTTTTATCTTCGTTTCAGTTATAACATTTTGCAAATAAATAATCTTCATAAATTTAGGCCTAAATGTATACATTTCTTTGGTGAGAGAAAACCCAAATTGGTATTTATTATTTAGTATGTAGGAAAGTTACATAGTCCACAAACTATGGGATATATATCTGAAAATCTCATTTCTTGAGGCCATAAAATGTCAGGACAGTACAAATACCCCCAAATGACCCTTTTTGGAAAGTAGACAGTTCAAGTTATTTAGTAAGAGGCAAAGCAACTTTGACAATTTTGTGAAAATTAGTTACAATTTTTTTTTTTTACTCATATTTTTACATACTGTCACCAGTGCATGACAGCATCATCATCATAATTGGTGTGGTGGTGATTTCAACTTTTAATAATTTTGTTCCATTTTTAAAAAAATTATTTACATACTGTGACACGAGCAATATCATGTTACCATAAGTATTACCATAGTAACACTGTGCTACTATGGGGTGACTGGACAGCTTTTTTTCCACCTTTTTTTTTTTACACACACTATGATTGCTTATAACAGTGATAATCACTTTTATAAGCAACCATTTTTGATGAATGAAATCAATTCAACCAGTATGTGCTATTGTGATTAGCTGTTGGCCACAGCTAATCACATGGTACAGATGGGCTGATTGGTCCTGTCTGTACCATGTGATCACCGTGACTGAATGGAAGCTGTTAACTGTGTACAATTGCCATGTGATTTGCTGTGATTGGTCACAGAGATCACATGGAACCGACAGCGGCCCGGTACACTGATCTGCCATCCCATTTCCGGTGGAAAAAGCAGGTGACAGATCGCACCTCAGAGTGGCCCGTGGGGCACACGAGGCGAGATTCTGGGAGGACTTCACATGACTTCCATCAGGATAAAACGCACTCCTGCTCAGTTGTCATTTGTCTATAGGCCAGGTAGGAGGCAGCCAAAGATCTATCATGCTGGTCTGAGACTTGTGCTGAAGTTCTAGAAATTGTAGTGGTAAAGTCTTCCTGCAATAACTGAATTTTCTTTTTACCAAAAGGTTGATCACCATCAGTGTCAATATAGATATCTCACAGGACACTTAATAAACCAACATCATTGCGCCAATGTACCTCAACGAAAATTATATATAGTAGGAGCTGCTATTAATAATAATAATGACTGTAAATAATGAAAAATGAGATGACAACCAACCACAAATAATAGCGCAACTCTACACCTACAATTAAATAAATATGTGAATGTTCATATATAAATTATTAAATAAATAAATCCATCACCACATATGTGCACATAAATAAATATCACAAATAAATAAATAAATATCAAAAATAAATAAATAAGTCCATTAAAAAAAAAAAGTCCATGAATGATCCTTTCATAAATGAAATAATGGGATTATGAGATCCTCCTTCACGAACGTGACATCCAGTGCTCAAAACACCCCATCAAAATGCACACTCACCATGTGCTGGTGATAAACCAGCATATCTTTATATATCCAGCAATCCACCACAATGCTCCGGTTATTAGGAAATCCTCTCATATCCAATTAGCACATGAATAGAAAACATACTCGCCATTGTGCAATATCATCCAGCTAGTTGTTTGGTAACAAAACCCCCCTTAAAATCGCACTCACAATGAGGAAAAGACTAGCAAACATTGATTGGGAGCCACAGGCTTTGTTTCCGGCGTCTCATCCGCCCACCCTCAACCAAGATGACGATGGTACAACCACGTGGTCCGGACACATGGGATAGCGTGCAGGATGACGTCACCGATAGCCACAATCTAACGCATTTCGTCAGACGACTTCTTCTGAGGGAGTGGTCAACAGTGCATGGAGAGCGCTCTTATAGATACTACTCCTTCCTGATTGGCCCAATTACTACAGCAACAGGTGCAATGTATTAACCCTAATATAAATGATCTAATCCATACACCCGAATACCTCGTTGCAACAACGCCATCTTGTGCATAGATAGTATAACTACAGGGTAATTATAATACATATCAATGTAATAACAATCAACACAATTATAATTATACATCCAATAACATTAAAATATTAAAATAAATATTAATCTGCATCAATAATCAAAAAGTAAAAAAAAATATAAATAAATAATAAAAATAATAATAAAATTAAAAAAACTTAGGCATCACAAAAAAAAACAAATTAAATCCAGTTCCACATTCAATCCCTTAGGAGTCAAAGCTTCAGTTAGATATATCCATTTAGTTTCACATTTAGATAGCTCTCTCACTCTATTGGAACCCCTCCAAGCTTTAGGGATAGATTCAATAGCCCAAAATTTCAAACCGGTGGGGTTACAGTTGTGATATTTCTTAAAGTGTAATGACACACTATGATATTTATAACCCTTACTAATATTCCTCAAATGTTCCAATATCCTGACTTTAAGCTGTCTCTTGGTTCTCCCAATATATATATTAAACCACAAGGACATTCCAAACCATACACCACATATGTGGACTCACATGTCAGAAAAGAGGATATCTCAAACTCCCTACGATTGGAATTGGAGATAATACTTCTCAATCCCTTGAATTTGAAATTAACCAAACTACATTCATTTTTGTGAATTTTTGGTAGAGTGTAAATAATAGGAATTCTATTCACACTAGGAATTAAATATGAAATACGAATTTCTGGTCATCCGAGGATATATTTAGTTACGGCAGATGTGTCGTCTTTGTACACTATTATACAACATGATGACGCTTTGCTGGCCCTCAATTGGGCCTTAAGATGGAGAGAAGACTTACCGTATAACCAAAAGAAATTTTTGAGAGACACTCTTGAATTCTGTTTATCCCACAATTACTTTTGGTATGATCATAATTTCTTTTCCCAGAAAAGGGGTGTAGCGATGGGAGCTCGCTTTGTGCCTAGTATAGCGAACCTCTTTATGTCTGAATGGGAGGACAGATTTGTTTTCAACCATCGACGTGAGCAGATATTGCTTTACAAGAGATTTATTGATGACATTTTTATGGTCTGGGCTGGTGATGGAGAACTATCGAGTTTTCTTGTAAGCCTGAATAATAATCCTAATAATATTAAGTTGGAATATCAGTATAGCACTGAATCAATACATTTTTTGGATCTCACTATCTTTAGGGTTTTTGATTCACTGTTTACTAAGACCTATTTCAAGCCCACCGATAGGAATAGTTATCTTCCAATAATTAGTGGACATCATCCCCAATGGCTGAAGAACATACCTAAGGGTCAAATAATGAGAGTGAGGAGGAATTGCAGTCAGGACGAGGTCTTTCGGGTTCAAGCAGATATTCTTGCCAATAGGTTTGTAGATAAGGGCTATAAATTAGATAAACTTCAGGACATAGTGGATCAGGTTCAATTGATACCTAGAGATCAGCTGTTGGAAGAGAAACCGAGACAGATCTTGAATGATAGACATCAGTGGGGGTTTATCTCTAATTACCATATACAATTTAAGATGGTTGAGGCTATTTTCCACAAACATTGGCATATTTTGAGGCTTGATAAAGTTATAGGGAATGTTATCCCCGAAAGACCAGTATTTATCTATAGGAAGGCTCCCACTATTGGTGATAAAATAGTTCGGAAAACTTTGGACCCTCCTAGGTCTTTGAAAATGTTTACTGATAGGAAAGGTTTTTACTCTTGTAAAAAATGCACTGCATGTAGTTTGGTTAATTTCAAATTCAAGGGATTGAGAAGTTTTATCTCCAATTCCAATCGTAGGGAGTTTGAGATATCCTCTTTTCTGACATGTGAGTCCACGTATGTGGTGTATGGTTTGGAATGTCCTTTTGGTTTAATATATATTGGGAGAACCAAGAGACAGCTTAAAGTCAGGATATTGGAACATCTGAGGAATATTAGTAAGGGTTATAAATATCATAGTGTGTCATTACACTTTAAGAAACATCACAACTGTAATCCCACCGGTTTGAAATTTTGGGCTATTGAATCTATCCCTAAAGCTTGGAGGGGTTCCAATAGAGTGAGAGAGCTATCTAAATGTGAAACTAAATGGATATATCTAACTGAAGCTTTGACTCCTAAGGGATTGAATGTGGAACTGGATTTAATTTGTTTTTTTCGTGATGCCTAAGTTTTTTTAATTTTATTATTTTTATTATTTATTTTTGTTTACTTTTTGATTGATGCAGAATAATAATAATATTTGTTTTAATATATTAATATGTTATTGGATGTATAATTATAATCGTGTTGATTGTTATTACATTGATATGTATTGAGATTGTGCAGATTGCTATTGCATTGATTTGTATTATAATTACCCTGTAGTTATACTATCTATGCACAAGATGGCGTTGTTGCAACGAGGTAGTCTGGTGTATGGATTAGATCATTTATATTAGGGTTAATACATTGCACCTGTTGCTGTAGTAATTGGGCCAATCAGGAAGGAGTGGTATCTATAAGAGCGCTCTCCATGCACTGTTGACCACTCCCTCAGAAGAAGTCGTCTGATGAAACACGTTAGATTGTGGCTATTGGTGACGTCATCCCGCACGCTATCCCATGTGTCCGGACCACGTTGTTGTACCATCGCCATCTTGGTTGAGGGTGGGCGGATGAGACGCCGGAAACAGAGCCTGTGGCTCCTAATCAATGTTTGCTTGTCTTTTCCTCATTGTGAGTGCGATTTTAAGGGGGGTTTTGTTACCAAACAACTAGCTGGATGATATTGCACAATGGCGAGTATGTTTTCTATTCACATGTGCTAATTGGATATGAGAGGATTTCCTAATAACTGGAGCATTGTGGTGGATTGCTGGATATATAAAGATATGCTGGTTTATCACCAGCACATGGTGAGTGTGCATTTTGATGGGGTGTTTTGAGCACTGGATATCATGTTGGTGAAAGAGAATGTATTTTTTTTTTACCTGCAAGATTCTTCAGCTGATCTAGAGTTGGGATAACAGGTGAATTTCTCTTCTGTAAGAAGAACAAGATCATCGTGGTGAGGGAGAAGTTAGTGATCCAGTGTCCAGACACAGAGCTAGTGATCCCATGCACACGAGCCCAACAACGCAAAGTGAAGACAAGAGGTCGCACTCGACTATCAATGTTCCCAAATATGTACAAAAGCTCTGAAGTTCTCAGCGCAATTCTACATCACAGAAGAAAAAAAAAAAAAAAAAAAAAAAAATCAGCATTTAGGAAGACAGTTATTGTATAGAAGATATTATCACCTTCACATTTCCTGGAGTAACTCATTCCAGCCCTATCAGTCAGCTGATGGATTTAGGATCTGTTCACACCATAAACAAAAATGCATGACATATTGTACGTCATTTGACGTGCGTTGCAATGTTTTTTCAGATTTTTTTAAATCAATTTATATAGAAAGTCCCAGCAAGAGAGCAAAAAATACTGAATATACTCACACCTACTAATCATCATAGGTTTATCCTTCCCTATTATGTAAATCACCTGGCTCTTTAGGGTTGAGATATGTGCATTATTAAGCTCAAAAGTATATCCTGGACAGCATAGATGTAAATATAAAACTCATGCCTAATGTGTCCTCACTTGTCCAGGTTAGGTTCCAGTGGCCTCACGGTCAGGTACGCAACATTTTCATTTACAATCCCGACTTCCATCAGTTGTCTCCATATAATAAGAGACAAAAACCTATCGCCTATGCTACACTCATCCACCAATACTCGGTGAGTGGTATGAGGTGCTGCGTTAAGTCATGGGCACGTTATCAAACGGTGTCTTATCACAGTACTTCATCAGTGTGTTTGACGTGGGCTTCTCCTGGTCAAGTGTCTACCTGGCTCCAGGGTTTTCTCTTACCATATACAAAACTAATTCAAAAGAGCATTCAAACGTAGAAATGAAAAACACGACATACTTACTCATTGTCTGCTGTGAGGTCACAGTGAAGACCCGCGGACTGGTGGTAAAAGCGTACCAGAGGGCAGCGTGCACTCAGGATTTTATGCACTTCTGTGCACCCAGGGCCAAAACTTTCAATACATTCACCAATGACAGAAAGAACCTTCTGCTGGGCTACTCTGCCAGAGGAGACCTGTCTCATCCAATATTCTGTGACGAATGAACTAGCAGGCTGACAGAAACAAAAAGAAAATCCATGAGGAGAACATAAAAAATAAGGACACTTCTTCCGAGGTCAACAGGTATTGTTTATGCATGTAGAAAATGTAATTACCCAAAAAAATGAATGCACCTACCACATAAATGGACCAGTGAGCTGCAATATATTATATTTTCATATATTATTGGGTTCAGATATCCTTTATGTACATTAGCATGCAGCTATGCTGGCAATATTCTCTGGACCAGTGCAATATCACTAGACTAAATACCCAATATAATTAAAGATAAAGCTGAACTCCAGGCAGACAGAAAAGCCAGTTATGTTTCATCAGACAATCGCTCAATGAATTTTAGAACCAGTAAAAGTACCTGAATCCGTCTTGATATTAAATTCCGGTGATCCCCAGCAAGCCAATTGTTGATCCATTGCTTTGGACAGTGCTACTAGTCACTGAATTACCATGCTTACAAGATGGGAGAACAGAGGGATTCCCTTATCAGTGTGTTATTTTATTTTCCAAACAAAGGTCAGGGTGGATCTTGGGCCAGGCTGTATTGCTTGCTTGCTGTGAAGTCAGCACAGGACCTCGTTGTGCTGTCTGGAAGGGATGCAGGGTAACAAGACTGGCTGAATATAACTACAAATACCATGCCAGGTTAACCCATCCCATTACATATGTATTTCAACTGTGTATCAAGGCGATTGCTTGGATTTCAGCTTTAAGTAACCAGAACGTTATGAATGCCAAGTACATCAATACCCAACCAAAAGTGGACTTACCTTTCCAGACACATCTTTTAAACTATCCAAATTTAAGAAGAGGTCCAAGTCACATCCCATCTTTCCAAAGGAATTAACACTGGAGCCATAGAGATGAACAGTGGCTTCAGGGAAGTAGGCAGTGGCGATGTCACTGACTAAAGAGCTGACCAGATAACGAACTCTGATACTTTCCTCTGTTAGCTGAAGTTCATCTAAGATGATATGAGCTTGATCTACAATCTGACAGCAAAACATACAAGTATACAGTGTAAGTAGGCAGCTATTATGAAAAACATCTCAACTGTCCAACATTAAGATACATAGACAGTTCTGTCAATAGAAAGCTGTGCTGCAAATGGACAAAATCTATTAAATTAGAACAAACACCAGCACAAGCAGATTTTACACTTGACATTAAGGAGACACTGTTATATTATAAAACATCTCAAATGTCTTTTGGTGGAATTATTTTTCGCTGTTTCATGGTTTCAGAACTACATTTCATATACAGCTTTGCAGGTTCTGTTGTTGTTACCTATGTGGATCTGAACTTGCTCAGTCATGCTACTTTTCTGCCTCTCTGATGTAGCATCCTTACCAGTCTAAGTTCCAGTGTTGGAGCTTGGACAGTGAGATGACATTGTGGTATGCCACATGTGACACTGTTCAGGCTCTGTAACAGGCTGCTCAGGTCTGAGCACTGTCACACATTCCCCTGTATCCAGAAGCAAGCATAAGCTCCATCAGAATGGGGAGGCAACAAGCAACAGCTTCAGCAGAGTGGGGAGGCCGCAAGGCAGCTTGGATGGCTATGTTCATAACTGGGGATGGGCTATTTGTAGACACTGGGGTTGATTTACTAAAGGCAAATACACTGTGCACTTTGCAAGTGCAGCTGCACTCATTTTCCACAGAGCTTAAAGTGGTTATAAATGCAAATATTAAAAAAAATTAACTTTTTGCCATAAATGAATACATTTTAATGTAATCATACATACATCTGAGAGTATACCTCAGAAAAAAGCTCCCGTAACATGTCTCAGTCCTCCAAAAATTGCTGGTCTGTGGGCTTGGCTTAGGACCAGAAAATAGTAGGCAGAGATGTGATGTCACACAATCCCTCAGTTATACACACCCTCCAAGCCTCAGCTATCTGATATATCATAGCTATGAGCATGTCTCCTGAGTGCATTCAGGGGAATACACAGGTGTCAGTGACTATGTCAGCTCTGCTTACAGCACAGGATCTGTGCTAATCAGAAGAAAGCTGGTAGAAAGGGGTTAATGTTAAAAAATCGTAGGAATCCTAAAGTGGCAATGTCGACCAGGAAACATTCTCATGTAAAACTCTGTAAACAGCATATCACAAGCTAGGTGCTGTGAATACAGCAGGACAATAGTCAGCTGTCAGCACTTACCTAGATAACTACAGCATTACTGAAGTGATGCCGATCTATGTCATAAATCACTGGTGCTAAGTTCTGATCTTGTGAAGGCAGAGACCAGCAGGGAGAGGACACACTCCCACCCATTTGGAATGTATTACATGGAGGCTCATGCTGGTCTTGTCTTCAGCACAGCCTGTCACTCACAGGAGAAGGGGCGTGGCAAAACTATTTATCTGCTTGTGTCGGATTTATTCTGTTCAGAAGAGAAGGGGGAATTCTGGAGAAGGGGACTGCGTCAAGATACCAAACTAAGCTCAAATGCTTAGTAAAGGTAAAATCTATTCAATTCTAGGATGCCGATAACCGGCAATTGTCAGAGAACAGATCGGCACTGATGATCAGTGCCCAGCAGTGCCACCCACCTGTTCCCAACAGTGCCACCCACAAGTGCCAACCACCTGTGCCCAGCAGTGCCACCCATCAGTGCCACCCACCAGTGCTGCCTAGCAGTGCCGCCCATCAGTGCTAAGCTGTGCCATCAGTCAGCGCCAATCAGTACCGCGCGTATCAGTGCAGCATCATCAGTACTGCTTATCTGTGCCCATCAGTGCAGCCTCATCAACGCAGATCAGTGAAGGAGAAAAATTACCTGTTTGTAAAAGTTTTATAATAGAAACAAAGAAAAACTTTTTTTTTTTCAAAATTTTTGCTCCTTTTTTGTTTATAGTGCAACAAATAAAACACCCAGGGGTGATTAAATACCACCAAAAGAAAGCTCTATTTGTGTGAAAAAAATTGATAAAAATGTCATATGGGTACAATATTGCATGACCGCGCAATTGTCAAAGTGCAACAGCGCTGAAAGCTGAAAATTGGCCTGGGCAGGAACGAGGTATAAGTGTCCAGTAGGCAAGTGGTTAAGCAATGTGGTGAAGCTTTGCTTTGTAAAGAATAGCCAATCAGGTACTAGGAAAATAAAGAAAAAACGCATTTTGCTTGCACATGATGAAAAATCATGGATGAAGGAAATCAGCAGAGCTTCACCACATTCACTAAACTCTGAGGAAACTGAGTGCAACTGCACATTCTATTTGGCTTTGTAATACGCATGTTATAATCTGCATTTTTTGCTAGAAAATTACTGTGACACCCCCAAATATTATATATTTTCTGAAAGCAGAGGACCTGGAGAAAAAAATGTTGACTGTTGCAATTTTTGTATGTCACAAGATATTCGTGCAGCCATTCCATTCATCGAATGCAAATTTTCAGGAAAGCACATTAAAATGAATTTTAGTGCACACAAACACAATATAATACCCATGTTTGGTAAGATATAAAAAAAAAAAAAAAAAGATGGGGATGCAGCAAGTTAATAGATAACATTTCAAGATTCAAAATTGCGCACACCTGTGAAATGGTGACAAACTAGAATACCTAAAAATGTTCCATAGCGAACACTTTAAAAGCCTTTATAGGTTATCAGTGTAGCGTTAATGAAGAATGATGACCCTGGAATTATTGCTCTCACTCTGACATTTGTAGTGATACCTCGCATGTGATGGAATTGCTATTTAAATGTGTTTGGGACCTATGCACATGTCTGCTTTTGCAAGTATGCACGATGGAGGACAGGGGTGCTTTAAAAAAGTTTTTTTTTTCATGGTTTTTATTTGCTTAAAATTAGTTTTTTTTAACCACTTGCCCTCCTGAGGATTTACCCCCCTTCCTGACCAGGCCATTTTTTGTGTTACGGCATTGCGTTACTTTAACTGACAATTGCTCGGTCATGCAAAGCTGCACCCAAATTAAATTTATGTCCTTTTTTCGAATCGAGCTTTCTTTCAGTGGTATTTGATCGCCTGTGCAGTTTTTAGTTTCTGCGCTATAGAAAAGAAAAAAAAAAAAAAAAAAAAGGCCGACAATTTTGAGAAAAAAAACCAAAACAATATTTTTTACTGTTTGCTATTAAACATGTCCAGCAAAAAAATTTAAAAAATCTAATTTTGTCAAAAATTTACACCAAAATGTATTCTGCTACATGTCTTTGCTAAAAAAAAATCCCAATGCGTGTAAATGAATTGGTTTACGTGAACGTTATAGCGTTTAAAAATGGCGGTATATATACTGAAATTTTTGTTTTCACTAGTAATGGCGATCAGTGACTTTTAGCGGGACTGCGGCGAGCATTCCGGACACAGTGAAACACCGATCGGACGGGACCTCTGTACGAGGTCCCGATCATATGATCACTGATTGGCCAATCAGTGATCACATGCCAAGTAGTAAGCAAGATGTCACTTGTGACATCATTGCTTACTACGTGTGAAATCTGTGAATGATCACAGAGGTCACATGGTACAAGGCTATTCACAACAGCCTTGTACCATGTGACAAGCTCTGACCAATCACAGCTCACACAGTATTTCTCAATGGCTGCAAGAATGCAGACAGAGAGAAAGAGAAATGATTGCTTTTACATCCTATATGGGTGTGAAAGCAATCACTGTAGAAAAAAAAAATCTTCATCACCCCCACAAGTAGTACAGTGACACTGTACTGCTACGGTGACAGTATGTAAAAAAAACAAAAAAAACAAATATAAAAAAAATAAAAATTAAAAAAAATGTTTAAAAATTATAATTTTTGGTTATAAACTAATTTGGCGTATTTTTTTTTTTTTTTTACTAAAAAGATAACGGAATAAATTTTGGCCAAGATTTACGATGAAATATTATTTATTTGCAAAATTTTATAAGAAAAACACTTTTTTCAAAATTTTTGGACTTTTTCATTTACATAGCAAAAAAAATAAAAATCATAGCAGTGAATAAATACCACCAAAATAAAGCTTTATCTGTCTCAAAAAAATGGTAAAAAAAATCATATGGGTACAGTGTTGCATGACCGCGCAATTGTCATTCAAAGTGTGATAGCGCTGAAAGTTGAAAATTGCCTTGGACAGGAAGGGGGTAAAAGTGTCCAGACAGGAAGTGGTTAACATGAGGAACGATCAAAGGGTTAACTGTGTGCAGGGAGTGTTTTACTGGATGGTGGTGTGTTGGTGCGTCACTGTACGCTGCTCTGGATGGCTGTACTGTGCACAGCCATCCAGAGCAGTATGCCCAAGCTGACAGGGAGGAGAAACAAAGTAGTCCTCCTCCCCATCGGAGATGCTCGGTAATCACCGGGCGCCGGAGCATAATCACCGGCCGGGACCCAGTGATTGACAGCTGCGGCCACGAATGGTGGTGCGGGGTAGGGTGCGCGCCCCCTACCCGGAAATACAAAATCAAGTATATATACGTGATTTTGCGCACTTCTGCCGCCCTGTAGCAGTATATCTGCTATAGGGCGGTCGGAATGTGATTAACTTTTTAAAAACTTATTTTTTCAATTAGCTTTATTGCTATCACAAGGGGGCTACCAAGCCCCCATGTGATAGCTTTGGGCAGGTGAAAGACACTCATTATGGAGACAGCAGGGGTCTATTATCCTCCATTGTCTCTCCTTGCCCTCCAATGCAGCTAATTAAGCACCGACTGTGCTTGATTAGCCACTTCCATGGCTGCAGCAGCTCCAAACTCAGAAGTGATGCAATCATTGTGCATGTGGCTTCATTAGGCACAGATGGGGGAATGGATGTTTACCTATCCTGGTCATTTAGTGCAGTCCCAGAGCTGCCCAGATCACTTACACTGAACAGCTAATCACCAGCTGTAAAAAAATGACACCAAACAACTGCAGCCATGAACCTGTTATAACCTTTAGCTGACAGGAGATATATATATATATATATATATATATATACAGCGGTCAGCAAGCGGTTAAAGCTGCTCTTCTGCCGCCCCC